CTCCCTCCCTCTCTTCACTCTTCCCTCACTCCCTCCTCTTTCCCTACCCCCTGCCACTCAGGCTGAGGATCAAACCTGGTGTCTTGGATATGCTGTGTGTCTTGGCATTTCATCACTGAGCTATATCCTCAGCCCTAAAGTGAATTTTTTTCTTTTTTTAATGAAAAGTTTCCTGTTGGAGATTCTTTCTTACTCTTCCTTATAGCTATCAGGAAAATGCATTTTTCCCCCCCTCAGGAGCATTTCAAGTTTTTTGTTTTTTTCCTTTTACTTGGCTTTTTAATACCTTAAATCTTTGGTTTCCAGTGTGTTTTATATGTTATCTCTATGTGGTTGTGCAATTTGCTAGGTAGGTAATTTGCTTGACTTAGTGGCATATTGGTTAACATTTAATAGTTTATTTTTCTTATAGATAGCAAATATTGGAACCTGACAATACTTGTCTTGAGATGCTAAAACTACATTTAATGTAATTAATAGTATAGTTGGTTTATATTCTTTCTTATATTTTTCCCATATTTATTTCATCATTTTTGGGTTGCTGTCAACATTTCTTTTTTCTCCTTTTCATGCCTTCTTTTTAATTGAGGTGTTTTTTTTTAATGATTGGTTTATGTCCACTACTACCTTATTGCCCTATCTGTATTTTATTATCTCTAGTAGTTATTGTAGGCCTCATGGTGTGCACTTTATAAATTTCACAATCTTTTCTCAATAATGTTGAACCATTTCAGGTATAATGTGAGAATAATATGAGAACTTTTATAACAATATATTTCCATTCTGTTTTGACATATTTTATGCTGCTGTGAACATTTTGCTTGTACTGTATCTCTCATAATACATCATTATTTTTGTTTTAAATAAGCAAATATATCTGCTGTAATTGCCCGGTATACCTCATTTCTTTGTTCTTTATTCCCCTGGTGTTAATATAGATTTTTAACTAATACTAATATTCTTTGTTCCTAAAAAACTTCCTTTAAAGTTCCTCAAAGTACAGAAGTGATGAATTCTCTAAACATTTTATTTTTGCTTCAATTGGCTAAGACACTTCTCTGGATTTTAAAAAGTCTAAGTTAATACTTTATTCTTTCAGTGATGTCTTCTCATTGTCTTCATGTATTATGTAGTTTCTGGTGATAAGTCTGGTATCATTCTTTTCCTTTTTCCTTTTTATGTTGTTTCTGACTACATTTATTCTATTTTTACTGAATTTCAGAAAGTGGATTATAATGTTCCATGATTATTATCTTTAGATAGTTATACAAAGGGGTTTCAGTTCAACATACAAATTTATGAGTACAGTGCTTCTTGATCAATGTTCCCCTTCCATCATTCTCCC